CGTAGTGCTTGCTGAAGTCGGCAACGGCGAGCGCTCCGTGGTAGGCCCGCTTGCTGTCGGCCTCGCCCTCGGCCGCCTGGAGCCACGCGCAGTCGACGGAGGGCCGCCCACGAGCAGCACCCCAGTACGGCCTATCAATCTGCTCCTGCAGCTCTCGAAGCACTGACCGTCGCAGCCGCTGCCAGGTCCTGTAAAGACCAGCATAGAGTACCACCAACCGATTGCCAGCACCAGACGTCTTGGGCAGCATTGGCGCGATCAACCAGCACAGCTGCCTCGGCGGCAGGCCGAGGGACTCCATCGCCGTGAACATTAGGGCGACCACCTCGAGCGCCTGCTCATCCAAGAGAAGGAAGTGACGAGGATGAACATGGTCAGGCGCCGCCGTGGTGTTGACCGAGAACGATCGCGCAACTGCACGTATCTCGTCAGGAGTCGCCTTCGGCAGCGCCGTTCGGTCAGGAATCCATGCCGGCGCAGGTCGGGAGCTGGACCACAACCTCTTGCACAGCTCCACCTCATGCCGAACATCATGAACGTGAGCCGACGCACCATGGGCCGTAGGGACCACCGTAGGCTGAGCAACGTCACGGCACTTCGTGGCACGGTGAAGGACACGCGAGCCACTGGAGACCGCCATGGCGCACCACTCCTTCCATTTCTGGTGGTCCTCCCGAGTAGCTCCGTTGAGCGCGAGCTTGACGTCGGCCTCAACGTCACCGAGGAACTCGCGGCAGGCCTCCTCGTCGAAGACAGCCTGCATCAGGCCGCGCGCCTGCTGAACAGATCGGTCGAGGCGCGTAGCGAGACCCTCCCCATGGTAGTTGGCCGTGGTGAAATTGAGGATCTCTTCTGCAGCCATCGCCAAGTCCTGCGCGGACGGGTTGACCATCGTCTTGAACTGCGTGATGCTGAGGAGGGAAGACTGCAACCATTGCCATCCCTCTGCCACGGCTTGCAGGTCGGACACGTCCTTAACCGTGTAGGTGATGTCGATCCACCGAGGTTGCAAGGGACGCGCAAAACCATGAAGAACATTGCGATCATGATGATCAACAGCGTCAGCAATAGCCTCGGCAGCTGTGACCGCAAAGTGGCCCTACGCCGCCGAGAGGAGGCCCCATCCAACTCCAGGAGGAGACTCAGGATCGGCACAGGTCTGAACGGCAGCTTCAGCAACACACCGAGCGCTAGTGTAAGCAGGCGGCTGCACTTGCGGCCCGATGATGATCTGAGTGCCCATCTTTGGCGCCACCGTGTAGACCAGTCGCTTGACGTGCTCAGCATCACCTTTGAGGACAGCATGAACAGGACGATGGCCTCGCTTGGCCCACTTGACATCGATGCCCACGCTCGCATGCATCCTCATGGCCGCTGAGTTGAGGAGGAAGTAATCAATGATGGACTGACCTGTACCTCCTCGAAACATGATGGAAGAAGTGCTCGCAAACGAACAACCAACGTGAGCAGGAAATTGGCTCGCCTCCAACTCGCCAGGGCACATGTTCCAGTCACCGCCGACGACGACGGGACCGTCCAGTGCCTCAGCAGCAAGGCCCAACTCCTGTAACAGCCTGCCGTTGCGGCCAGCGGCGCCCTCGCCAGTGTACAGGTGCACGTTGAAGACATGCAGGCCGACAGGCAACTCGGGTATATCTAGTAGAACGTGCTGAACTCGGTTCGGCAAGACCTCGTGCGCTCCGAGGGTGGGAGGACGAAGTCCGAGGCGATCGCGCACGGCAGCAGCAACTCCTGCCGACGGCACAGAACCAGTAGTCGGCAGGCTCGGCAACGCCATGGGCTTCCAGCCTCGCACACCGCACCATGAAGCCAATGCCTCAACGTGCTCGCTGATGCGCCCGAACTCCTGCAGCAGCACCACGCTTGCCGACGTGCTGGCAAGGCGCTTCTTGACGGACGCCTTGCCGCCGCTGGCGTTGTAGGTCTCGATGCTGAACTCAGCGCCGACAGTCGGCCTGGCCCCGCTCGGCGGCGCCCGCCCGCGCCCAGGCAGCCCGCAGACGTCGGGCCAGGCAGCCGCTGGGCGACCCATGCCGCGCACGCTTGGCCGCCAGCTCGGACCACATGGTGTCGAAGGCGGACGTGAAGCCGTCGATGCCCCCCTCGCCCCGCGCGTGGAAGAGGGCCCGCTTCTGCACGTCCGTGGGGGCGGGCAAAGCCTCATCAGCGGCATCAGCAGCAGGAGGAACAGCCCCAGTGCTGGCAGCGCGGGCAGCAGCCTTGCTGGCGACCGCCGACTTGAGCTTGGCCCAGGCCTCGGACTTGAGGAGGGCGACGAGGTCGGGCTGGTCGGCCACGTCCTCCTCAGCGAGGTCGATCCCGGCCGCGACGGTGGTGACGCTCTTGGCCGACTCGTTGAATGCAGCGTCCAGCGCCGCCACCTCCAGCTTCTTGGCTGCGTTCGTCTCCTTGCGCATCACGATGCCCTTGGCCAGCTCATCCAGCTGGCGCTCCTCCTCACCCAACTCCTTTTCCAACTTCTCCAGGCCGTTCCGCGCCCGCTGCAGATCCTGCTGCGTGCGCCGATGGAGGGCCTGGGGTGACAGCAGCGCACGCTTCTCCGCGCGCAGTGTCTCCAACTGCTTCTCGATTGGACCCCGAAGATCCTTGTTGCGCTCGTCAGCGGGTGGAAGCTTCTTGAGGCACTCCTCAAGCTCCGTGATCCGCCCCGCGAGCTTGGCACTCTGCGACTTCTTATCAGGGTCAGCGCCGTCTGCGGCCTCGCGCCGCGGCGCTGCGCCACCAGGCTTGGGCCACTCCTTGTCGGGCGGCGCCAGGCGCTTCTCGATGGCCTGCATCCACTCCGGGAGCTGCTTGGGGATGCCCTGCGTCGAGCTCCTTGCTGCTTGGGGCCCGACTTCTTGCAGCGCGGCCCTACGCGACGAGCGAGGGTCAAGGCGGGGTCTCGCCTGGAGGCGCTCCCGCGGCCGCCCCGCGCACCAGCAGGAAGATCAAGCTGTCGGCGGTCATCGACCAGGCCGACGGCCATGGGCGGCCCGATCCGGCCCACTGACATGGTCATGGTGGCCACGGCGTGGAGATGCTCTGCGGCGTGGAGGCCGCCGCCATCGTTGGGAAGCAGGCCCGGGTGTCGGCGGATTCCCAGGTAGCGAGCATCGAGCTCGGGGCTACGGAGGCCAACCCCGAAGGCCGCGAGTGCGCGCGCAGCCCGGCGTGGTCGCGCGCTGTCCTTGGCCAGGCCGGGCTCGCTGAGAAGGCGTCTCCATCGTGCGCCCTGTTGCGGATCCTGCGGCGGAGGGATCGCGGGGGGTGGGGCGGGAAGCTCCCCCTCTACCCGTCAGGGCGAGGCACCGCGCCCTCAAGAGAGGGGGTCGTGGCCACTTTGCAGCGCGTAGCCGGGGCGGCGCGCCTCACCGAACACTTCGCTCGGGAGAACGGGCGCTCAGTATTACGCGAGGTTTGGGGTTCTCATGGCGCGCATCGAATTCCTGGGACGGGGGGGGGAACACCGTCGGGAACTACGTGGGGGACTCCCGGGGCGAGCGGGTCTCGGAAGCTTCTCGGGTGGCCGCGGCATGGGATTCGGGTGGCCGCTGCGATCCGAGGCCATCGCTGTCCGACCCCAAAACGCCACTGCGAGAGATAGTGGCGGGGAGCGGCGGGACAACCGTAAAAGCAGAAGTCGAGAAGAGGTGCGCGGCGGCATGTGCTTCCTGGGAGGCGAAGCTGCACGCGGCTGTGGAAAAAAAGGCCCGCGAGGTGTGGGCCAAGCAGTGGACTACTGAGCGGAAGGAGCTGGACGGGGGCGCTCGCAGTACGGAGGGGGAGGTCCACGAGGTGGTTGTGGGCGGCCCTGTGCTTCCAACGGACATGTGGGTCGCTCGGCGCGGCTGGCGGTTCGGGCGGTCGTGGCTCGAGAGGTGCCCTGTCACAGGCGTTTCGTGGAAGGAATGCCTCGCGCCCCGTGGAGATAGAGATGGAGTGAAGATGGAGATCGTGGCCCTGCGGCGCACGGACGGGGAGCGTGCCCACCGATTGCTGCCTGCGTGAAAACAGTGCGCTGGCATTACGTAGCAGCAGCGGCAGCGTTGTTGAGAAGCACGCTTGCGATCGCAGTAGCAACGGTGCGCGTACAGGTCGCGCGTGGAGATCGCGCGCGGGAGTGCCAGCGCACGCATGCCAGCAGACAGGGTGCGCATGTGCAGACCTGTCGTGCTGGAAGGGTGAGTGAAGTGAGGGGCGTATCGATTGTTAGCTGATGCCGTTGTGTAGGGGGATGTGTCACGCATCTTGTACACAGTGCGATTGAAGGGTGAGTTCTGGCAGGGGTGTGTTTGGAAGGGGGGGTTTGCGGGATCAGGGCGCTGGTGCCCGTTTTGGCAATAGGCGAGCCGAACTCGAGCCGCGTGTCCCTACCCACTCATCCTGAATTCAATTGTAGTACATATATATATATATATATATATATATACATATATATATATATGTATATATTTTTTGAAGAAAAAACAAAAAAAACTGGCTCTCGAGAGGGGGCCGTGAGCTGGAGATCGTGGCCCTGCGGCGCGCGGACGGGGAGCGTGCCCACCGATACCCACCTGCGGGAACACAGTGCGCTGGCATCAGTAGCAGCAGCGTTGGTGCGTTGTGCACCTGGACATATTCTTCGTTGCGGCCTCGCCGGAATTCAGCAGGTGCGTTTCGTTCTGAGCTCGCGGCTTTCTCAGGACGGCGAGGAGGAGGAGGAGGAGGAGAAAGAGGAAGAGGAAGAGGAAGAGGAAGATGATGAGGAGGAGGAGGAGGAGGAACAAGGTAATGAAGGAGGAGGAGGAGAAGGAGCAGCAGGAGGAGGAACAAGGGGGAAAAGGAGGAAGAGGAGGAGGAGGAGGACGACGACGAGGACGAGGAGGAGGAGTTGGGGGATGAATGATGACAGCGCCGTTTACGTTGATGCCGACGCGCTTCCCGCCTGTCGCCGGCGTCGCTCCCGTGGGCGATGACCTCCTCCCGCCGGGCAG